TTTGTTACAAGTTCTCTAGGCCTAATGAACACAGGAGTTCAATTGAAGTTAATAGATAGGAAGCTGGATGAATGCTATTGTAGCTTCCTTTGATATGTCGAAATTATATTTAAGTGCCTATTTGAACCTTAAAGGAGCAGTATGGATTTTCTGCTTCACATAATGGACTCTTAGCTGATGCCCAACCATTCTGAGAATTCAGATGTATATCAAAGTTACATCATACATGTACTCACTTCTCCATTTTATAATGGTCTCCATTTTATAAGGCAATAAGTCATGCAAATGAAAAAGGAAAATAACCAATCAATCAATCAAGCTATTTACTTAGTGCAGCATAATTCATGGAACATTAGGGGAAACAAATCACCTAAATTATGCTATTTACTTATTTATTCATTATATTAGATTATAAATAAGAAAAGCCTTCCCTAGGGGGAAGACATCACATATTGATTAGAAAATATTAGCTATTGTAGCTGGGTAAGAGCTTGAAACTCTCGTTGGAGGGTGTCTTAGTGATAACCTTGTTCTTTTTCACATTCAATACAAGCATTCCCTCTTCCTCGTCCCACTTCTTACTTCTTTACTCTAACAAATTGGTCCGACCTGCTGTGCAATGACCAATACATGAATGGATTCTCGTGTTGAATCGTTAGAGAAGAGCCAGGAGGAAATGCATACTGAAATTGAATCGTTGTGTTCTGACATGAATCACCGTATGGACAGTATAGAAGGTACGCTTGCCAAGATGTTCGAGCTGCTCTTTTCATTGCATGGGAATTGGGAAATGTTATGCAGAATCTAGTTTTTCTCCGGTGGTTGCTCCGGGCGGAAATTCCTCTTCATACAGTATCAATTCCACACCGGCACCATTTTAGCAGGTTCCTTCGGTCAATCCTCCACTACAGTCTAAGTCAGACCAATTTGTTAGAGTAAAGAAGAAGGGAGTGGGACAAGGAAGAGGGAATGCTTGTATTGAATGTGAAAAAGAACAAGGTTGTCACTAAGACACCCTCCAACAAGAGTTTTAGGCTCTTATACAGCTGCAATAGCTAATATTTTCTAATCAATATCTTTCCCATAGGGAAGGCTTCTTGTTTATAATCTAATACAATGAATAAATAAGTAAATAGCATAATTTAGGCGGTTTGTCTTCCCCTAATGTTCTGCTCCAATCCCATGAATTATGCTGCAAATCTGATTGTGTGCTGCAGTAAGTAAATAGCTCCAAGTAAGTATTGCTTTATCATTTTTTTTTTCTTATCCTCTCATCATCTCTCTGTATATGACCCGACTTTCATTCTTATGATCTGTGCTTAAATAAATAGAACAATGTTAAATGAAGATGCAAATATCCGTTACTCTTAAGTGTGTTAATGACTATTGCACTAATCTTTGTGTTTCATTTGTCATTCACAGACAACATTGCTAAACCACATATTGACTGCTAATCATGGAAAGCGCATTGCAATTATTGAGAATGAGGTTAAGTATTTGGTTGATTGGTTATTCTTCAATGCTGTACGGTACTGAAAATTGATGATGAATGTAGTCAAATGTTGAAACATTTTCTTATTTTTATTTGTCTAACTTCTTCAAGTTTGTATTTTTAGACCTCTCCTCTTCTGGAAATACTATAAGCTTTTAAGTTTATACCAAATTGTATATAATGCAGTTTGGTGAAGTGGATATTGATGGTTCTTTGGTTGCTGCAAAAACTGCTGGGGCTGAGGACATTATGATGCTTAACAATGGATGTATATGTTGCACTGTCAGGGGTGATCTTGTTAGAATGATTGCAGAATTAGTCAGTAAGAAGAAAGGAAAATTCGATCATATTGTAATAGAGACAACAGGTAGAGAAGCTAATGAGAATAATATGGGCATCACTGTCTAATTGTTCGTGTGACCTAAATACCTAATATTAACTTTTCTCTAAACTAGTTATTTTGCTTTCACACTGCCTTTTGTGTACATTCTACTGCCGTCAATAATGCAAAACAAATTTTGCTGACTCTGAAGGATTGGCGAATCCAGCACCAATTATTCAGACTTTCTATGCTGAGGATCAAGTTTTTAATGATGTTAAACTAGATGGCGTTGTCACATTAGTTGATGCCAAACATGCTGGTCTTCACCTGGATGAGGTGAAGCCAAAGGGAGTGGTCAATGAAGCAGTTGAGCAAATTGCGTATGCTGACCGTATCATAGTGAACAAGGTATATCTATGTTTTGTATGATGTCTTTTGTTGGATAGGTGTATATACAACTTTTTGGTGATAAAATCTACAGAACCTAATTGAGATGCCCTTAAATTTTGGACATTTTACTTGTTTATGCCACATTTCTCTATTGACAAAAAGCTTAAACCCATATGTGGATATGTTTTGTCTACAAAGGTTGTATGTCATCAGAATATGACAATATGTGGAAGGCTATATAAGAAGAAAATAACTTTATAGTTTAAATTATTCTCCAGTTTGACTAATGTTTCTTCTGCTGTTTCCAGACTGATCTGGTTGGTGAGGCAGATGTGTCTTCCTTGATTGATCGCATCAAGGTTTGTATTCTGTTAAATTGCTCATCTTGAGAATTATTTATACCTTTGATTTCATCTATTAACCTTTCACTTGGCTAAAAACAGAGAATAAACCAAATGGCACACATGAAGAAGACTCAGTATGGAAAAGTTGATTTAGATTATGTTCTTGGTATTGGAGGTTTTGATTTGGAAAGGTTTGTTTATCCCCCTTTATCTACTGAAGGGTTCCTCTGCATTAATTTGTTTCTTGTTTTTTCTTGGTCATCAGTGACATGTTTACCTTGTTTGCTACCATGGAGTACTAGTGAATTGTAGATACTGATGTAATATGCTTTAAAATATCTGTTTGCTTTTGGATTATGATAATACAACACTGTCTTGCAAAAAAAAAAAAAAGCATAGAAAGAGTTGAAACTTTTTGTTGTATGCAATGGTACGACTTAAACTCTCCTGCTTTCTTTCTTGTTCGGGTTATAGTTCCCTGGAATTGCTCTCTGGCTCTTATTCCTCATGATGTCATTTAAAGATAAGTCTTCCTTATCTATGACTGTACTTTTTGGGAGTACATTTTAGACTGCAGATGAGAACTCTAGGGAAGAAGTTTTTATGAATAATTCCCAGAGTAATTATAATTGCTAAGGAAATGCTTTTAGTTACTAATCTTCTATTTCCATCTTTTACTAAATTGATATAAACTAGGAGGAAAAGTATCTTTAATTTTCACTCTGTAATACAGGGAGACTATTTCTTGTGTAACCTTATTTTTTCTCAATGCAGAATTGAAACTGCTGTTGATACTGAAAGTTCCAAGGAAGACCATGATCACCATCATGACCATGACCATGAACACGACCACCATCATGACCATGAACACGACCACCATCATGACCATGGTAACTTGAATAGGCTTTGTTCTACTGTTTGGCCCAACTGGTAGTATAATCAGAAATAAAAGTCAGGAAACTTTGTTTTACCCTTACTTTGTGGAGTTCATGAGGGATTTCAGGTGTGCTACTGTTGTAAAATGTTATCTTTTACATGCATATTGACTTCTCATTACTATTGCAGAACATCATGATCATCACCATTCTCACGATCATACTCATGATCCTGGTGTTTCGTCTGTCAGCATTGTTTGTGAAGGGATCTTGGATCTTGAGAAGGTTGGCATCTTGATCTTTTTTGTCACAGCTATTCATTTATACCTAGTAATTTAAAACTGCTGTGATAAAGTTCTCCCGCCTTTACATAGAAATTATACAAATAATTGTAGTTTATCAACTAAGAAGTCGAGACGTTTTAATTTTCAGGCTAACATTTGGCTGGGAACTTTGTTGATGGAAAGGAGTGAAGACATATATCGGATGAAAGGCCTTTTGTCTGTTCAGGGAATGGACGAAAGATTCGTCTTTCAGGTTATTGGATTTTCTGCTTTTTATCTATATATTTTTTCATTGGTTTCAGTAACTGTGGTGGCAAAACATACCCTCCTATTTAATTTAATTTAATTTTTATTTAAATTAGTGGAGTAAAAATTGAGTGCAGCATGAAACATATTGTGATTGGTAGTATATTATATGTTTTACATGGCATGACAGGGAGTGCATGACATATTCCAAGGTTCCCCAGACAGGCCATGGCTTCCTGATGAAGCAAGGATTAACAAGGTTGTTTTCATTGGAAAGAACTTGGACTCAAAAGAGCTAGAGCAGGGTTTCAAGGCTTGCCTGCTATAATGTAATTCCATTTGCTAATTCTCAAAAGGCAAATGAAAAGTAAAGCCATTTTTAACAATGGGACTTTGACCTTTGATCCACATGTATAAGACAGTCACAAAAGTTTTGGTACTTGGAAATAAGAAATTAAATTTACCATGCTTATTTCATTTCTTTGTTGCAGCTGTCTATTTCATCTTTTCCTGGCTGTAATGAGTTCAACAAGTTGGCTATCTTATTTGATATTACATGTTGAATCCTCATTAGGTTTAGGTTAATTGCAAGCCTTGAATGTCATTTTTCCTCTAGGTAAAATGAGAGAAACTATACCCACTTAAAAGCAACATTAACAATTTCTTCCTTTGACCTCAATGTTATTGAAAGAGTTCTCCATAAATTATCACCCTTATTCCAAGAGATGTGCTTTTATATAGATCACAAATATGAGGAAAGTAACTTACAAAACATACTCGCATCTTAAGAGTAAAGAAAACATAGCGATATAACTGTGACTTTTCAAATAAGAGGTCTCGAACTTCAGTCTGAGACTTTGAATCTTTGTGTTTCAGTAGATACTATATTGTAATAGAATCAAAAAATAAAATAGAAGAAAAATAGAGTTATGAAAACGTATTTCGAAAAAAAAAAAGTTAAGAAAACAAAGAGATGGAAGAATAAATAGATCTTTATAATGTAATAATTTATAACAAAATCATGACTTTCAGAGTTTCAGTTAAGAAAATCAATTTCATATCCAAATTGCTGGCAAATAAATGTCAAACAATGAAATGCATTTTTGAAGAAAGTCGCATATTTTCGGCTCCGAAACCTTAAAACCCTAAAACAGTCAAACCCTCGCTCTTCTCTGCGTTCTGAAGCCTGATCAATCTGCTTTTTCTCTGCAAATTTATTTCCTCTCTTGCTCTGTGGTTTCACAGTTACAGTGAGTTCTAATGGAGGTTGAAACACGTTTCTCCAAATCCATTGCATTGGATGAGATGGTTTGCTCTGCAGTGCTTGAAGCAGCTCTTACAGCTCACACCTCGCTTGTTTCGCTTCTCCTCCTGGTACACTATCAACCCTTTGGTCTGCAAACTTTATTTTTGTGTTCTTTTTATAATAATATAAAAAAATTATGATTTGGAATTATATATTTGGATGTATTCTATGCGCCTGCTTTTCTCGAATCCTTTGATGCCTTGTGGATTTGAATTTTGTCTTTCTTAATCAAAAGTTTGTAATTAGCTTGTCTTTGTTACATCACCAGAAGTATGTGGCCTTGTGGAAATTCTTGATGTGGATGGCTTTGTCTTTTTGCTTAGAAAGTCCCTTTGGGTGATTCTTTTTGTGCATTTTCTTATTGGGGATATTCATTACTTTATCAAACCTTTTAAATTTCAAGTTCTTAAGTTTTCTTTAGCAGAAAAAAAGTGAAAAGAAAAAAAGAACAAATGATCAATCGAGCTTAATTATAGGTTGACTTGTTTAGAACATGGCATCATTGGAGTAATGATTAGCACAACATGTGCACATTTAGAGGTACTCAAAAAGATCTAGGGATTTCGTGGAGCTCAAATCTTGTTGCTTCCATATTTTGACAACCCTTTGGATTAGCTATTGAAATTGAAAATGAAGTTATTCTTTTATAATATATTGCCGTATTGGGGACTGAATTGAATTGTTTATTGTTTCACAATGGGGTTGAAGGTTTCTTTCGGTTTTTGGCATTATTCTGTAATACACTAATTTGAGAACCCTTTTAATCTAGTTTGGAAAAGTAAAAAAGGTTTTCTTTTATGTCATATTAGACTATTAAAGAGCTAAGTTGGTTGCAAAAGAAGAAAAAGATATTTTCACTAATTGAAATTTTGTAGAGTACATTTTTCACTACCAATTGGACCTCCTCCACTTTTGTCCATTTTTGCTTTACCAGCATTTTGTTTGCCAAATGCTTAACAAATATCCCGTTGTCTTTGCCCTAAATTAAAACTGAAGTTAATGACCAAAATTGTCCATTGACTATAGTGAAATTACCAATTTGGTCTCGACTACCATTCTTGCCTAATTAAGTCGTTAACTATGAAAACTCTACTCAATTTAGGAGAATAAAATTCCATCCATAAGTTGTTGTTGTTGTTTTTTTTGGTGTAAACCATGAGGTGTTCTGGGTCTTTCTCCGTCCGCCTTACTGTCCAGGTCCACCCGACTAATCCCCGTTCGCTCCGGGAGGCATGGGAGCTGGCCCAAGGAGAATTGTCACTTGTGGGAATCGAACCTGGGTTATCCCTAGGATCGTCCCTACAAAGAAGCTCCTTTGCCACTTGAGCTACCCCTTTGGGTTCTATCCATAAGTTGTTAAATCTGAGGGCAAAACGATAATTTCACTTCTCTTATTTATGCCCTCAAAAAACACGGAGACTTTATGGTAATGATAACGGAGAATGGTAGTCGAGGACCAAATTAGTAATTTTGCTATAGTCAAGGGAGGATTTTGGTTGTTAACTCTTCTATATGGCTTGGACTGTGTATTTATCAGTCTACATTTTCCTACATAGTTTCTAGATCTGGCATAGTTGGAGTATCATTGTGCTAGAGATCTATATATGTAGTCAAAGTAGTAAATTAGTTTTTTAAATTGGATATGCATCATATAATAATGTTTTTTGGGAATTCTTAACTTGGCTATGTAGTTGTGCTAGGTTTGAAACAATTTTCAGTGATGCTTTTTGTTATTTGTGCTTCTGTTGGATAAAAATTTGTGCTGATTACTGGTGCTTTTTTAGAATAAATTTGTGTGCTCGTTCCATGACCTTGTTGGAGTAGAGAAGAGGTAAATGAAGATCCTATTTTGTCGTTAAATCTGAAATTTGTTGTGCTTCATTCTTCTTCGTTATTTGCATTGCAACAACAAAATCCTAATCTCGAATCACATTTTAGATTTCCATTGGGTGGTCTGAACAGCGCCACAGCGACAGAGGCTGAAAACCAGGTTATGGATGAAAGTGATGATGATGATGATGAGGATGAAGATGATGATGATGACGACGATAATGAAAGTGATGATGATGATGATGGGGATTCAGAAGATGATGATGACGATGATGATGATGATGATGATGATGATGGAGATTCAGATGATGCGGATAGTGATGGAGGAAGCAGTGAAGATGATGACGATGACGATGACAATGATGATGATGATGACGAGGAGGATGAGGATGGGGACGAAGATGATGACGACGATGATGAAGAGGAAAAGAAAAAGAAAAACCAACCCCCTCCAAAAAAGAACAAATGAAAGCTGCATTATTATTCCCCTATAACTTTTCATCAATCACTTCCCTCTAATACAACATTGGATATTTTTGGCCATGGTTATAAAGAACATATTAATTTTTTGTCACTCTTCCTAATTGATTTGGTTACAAATCATTCTTATACTCCCTATTATGTGTTTCATGTATACATATCATGCCTAGGAGAAAGGATTGCTACAATGTTTAAATGTAGAAGCCCAGAATCTTAAAAGCAGTAGAATAATCATAATTTACAAAAAAATAATAAATGTTTAATTTCCTTATCAATTTAACCTTTTAGTTGAGACGGGATGCAACTTTCAATTCTTAAACCTCTTGTGACGATTGATGGGTTTGAGAGTTGGCTTAGGATTTGTGAAAGGTCAGCTCCCTCAACCTGCTCATGTACATGTACAGGAAATTAGTGTCATTTCTGGCAAAATTGGACATAAACTTTTTCTTAATGAATGGAATGGCCAACTGGTTAGCTTGCCACAAAATGGGTAGGGGGCAGCAATAGCATCAAGGTAGGCACTAAGGGCATGCTGACTTGGTTAAGTTCGAGGACATAATGAGTGGAGGGGCCAACTGGCTAGCTCGCCACAAAATGGGTAGGGGCGACAATAGCTTCAAGGGTAGACACTAAGGACATGCCAATTTGGTTAAATTTAAGGAGCTTGCGGCTAGTCTTAAGGGTGTATTCAATCAAGACTTTTATAGACTTTCAAATACTTTTAAAAGTGATGAATTTTAAATTACTTTCATAGAATCTTTTTAAACTTTTCTAAAAAAATTTAAACTTTCGAGTATATAAAATGTCCGTAAGACAAATATTTATAAACTTTTAAAAAACTGTCATATTAAAAAGTCTATAAAAGTCGTTAAAACTCTAAATTCAAAAACAAAAGTATGTGAGTATTTATGAAAGTTTTGAAATGTAATGTAAAATTTGATAGGAATCGATAAAAAGTTTGTCAGACAGAGAAAGAAACCCTATTCCTATTCTAATAGAGTTTATAAATGTTAGTACTCCATAAGTTTTTTAATACCAGTAGACTTTTAAAAAGACTATAAAAGTTTGAATAGAATATTAGTATACTTTTAAAACTTTTGAAAATTCTGAATTAATAAACTTGTGTGATAAAATTGAAAAAAATATCAAATCTTTTTTTTTTTTTTAATGCAAAGTAAAGATGAAACAGCAATTACCAAAGGATGTAGAAACAGATCTTTCCCTTCCCTTTCTTGAAATCTTAGCTGCAAAGAATTGTGCACAGCTTGAAACTGTGTGCATATTGCAGAGATTAGCTTTCTTCTTTCTTCAACAGCTTCCTTGAGGACTTGTCCATCTTCTTCAAGAATCCTCAATCTCTCCGACAACTCTCTAACAACTTCTGCACTCACAAACACATTCTTCCTAGGAATCTGTGAAGTAACCTTAGCAGTATAATCAGAAGTTGAACCCTTCAACTCCATGTGTTCTTCACACCCCTGCATTGTTATTTGTTTAGGTGGACAACAAAAGTATACATACAGAGCCTCTATTTATGATTGCTGTCTACAAGCTAAGGAGTTCTATATTAATGATCATTAAAAAAAATGTATTAGAGTATGAGTAGAATATAGAGTATGACGGTCGACGGGACTAAATCGACTAAAAATAATTATTTTCGGGGACCAAATCAATGAATAAGCGAGGGACTACATTGACAGTTCGCTTGAGGGACTAAATCGTTGGTTAACTCTTTATAGAATATAATATGTTATATCAAAGTATTTGTAGAATTGTAGTGAGACACAAGATAGATGAAATCATGGTTGCTTACTCCAGAGGACAGCAGAGGAATGGGAGAAGTTGAAGCAGATTAAGGTCTATGTACTACATAGATAGGATAGCTTGAAGGGGACAATTTACTTGCCACCAAAGAGAACAAAAATGTAGGAAGCTTCAATTTATGGTACATTGTTTTTCCGAGAAACATCATATTCAAATCTACATCCGTCATCAAGAAAGGACTTAGAGCATATCAATAATAGGGGTTTTTAGGGAGTTTATTGTCCGATTTTTGGTGAGTTAGATAAGAGATAAGAGAGAATGTAAGAGTATGTTGCACAATTGTAGAATACAAGATTTTTTTTTTTTTGACATTTAATGGGCCCCAATGCCCAACATTCGCGTAAACAACTTTTTTCTTTTCGTTTCCATTTTCTTCCCCTCTCCTATTAGGCAAGCAAAAAACCTGGTAAAAAATCACCTATTATAGATGCTCTAAGAATTTAATCTATTATAGTCGCGGGCTAAATCTTGAAAATTTGTATATAGAGAATGAAATGACAATCCCACAAACAAATCATATCTTTCAAGAGAGTCACAGCAAAGTATGTGGAAGAGGAATGGAGTGATATGGCAACATAAACAAGGTAAGATGTATACATTGGGGATATGAATGGCATCAACATCAACTCCTCATGAACAAGGGCAGACTTTATTATAAAAATTACATGCTGCTCTTTCTTGTAAATGCTCAGTTGTTAAGGTAAATTTCCCGCAACTGCAGAGCTAGTCAACCGGGACCTCCACCTCCATCTTCAAACCGGGGTAGTCGAACACCTGAAAGAACCAAGAATTTAAAGAAATATGTAAAAAGTCATCCCAACACCCGAAGTTCCATGCTAAGAATGTAAAAGTGGATAATTTAAAAAAGAGATGAACTTGAGAGGGGCATTCGAACCTTAATGAAGTCATCCAAATACAATAAGGAATCTCTTGTATAACCAGCCTCACGAAGAACTTGGCTCAATACATTCTATAGAACACAAAATATAACATGTTACGAAATCGTCTCTTTGTACAGACTATACCATACTTTAGGGAAAGAAGGGTGACACAAATCTTCATACCTTTTAAAACTGAAAAAGGAATACTCTGTATTATTTTAAAAGATGTAGTGGAAGCTGTGTTTAAGTGTAGACTTTCATTTCATAAACAAATAATTGTCTTAAATGTAACCCATTTCAGTAGTTAGCTTTTTGGAGAAAATGGTGCATGTGATGACCGAAATGGTCCCTTGACTATAGCAAAATTACCAATTTGGTTCCGAGTTAATGGATGTCTAACGGCAAAACAAACGGAGGACCAAATTGGTTAAAATTTTTTAAGTTGAGGGACTTAATTGGTCAAAAAAAAAAGAATGCAAAGTTCAAAACCGAACAAAAAAGTGAGGCATTCGACATTCCTTAAGAACGCGGAAGAATATAGCTTAACTCAAATTAGCATGTGCATTCAGACGAGAATAGCATCCATAATGATACAATAATGAATTACAGAAGTCCTCGAGTATCGATATCTTTCTGTATATGATTCAAATTTATAGAAACTAACTAACACGACACCAAATTTACTTACCGTGTATTATCTACATCATAAATCACGTAAGTATTGAATCAAGCTAATGAAAATTTATATTCACCTAATTAACAACTACCTCCATAGAAATTCATATTATGAACTCACAACAAACTTTGGTAATGATTATGAACTCACCTCTCTTTGGTCATCAGACATGAATGGTCCAGTCAAATCCTGAAGCACTTCCATTATGTTGTCGAAGGAGATCTTTCCATTGCCATCAGAATCATATACTTTGAAGATAACTAACACATAAATTGATTTGATCCAAGTAAGAAAACTCTCTTATAGCTATTAGAATCACATCTTTAAACTAATACATAAAAAGATTAGATTCAAGTAAAGAGCTACAAAAAGCCAAAAGGAGGGAATAGAATATCAAATGAATGCAACCGAACAAAAAAGTGCAGCAGAATCTTTGCTTGAATGAATAAACGAAAAAGAGAGAAATTAAGATCAATTGACCTACGTTCAATTTTCTGTTGCATGCTTGCTTTGGCACTGAAAGCTGACAAAAATGCCACAAAGTCCTTAAAATTCAATCCATCCACCATCTTAAGCAATCTCTGAATACTCAAAAGATCAAATTCTCAAAATTAGACATCATTACATCAATGAAGGAATAACCATAGACCACACAAAAATATATCCAGAATAAGAAATAACATTACTTAATATAAGAAAAAATGATACTAACAATGAAAATACTAATTTATTGCAAAAAATCAACCTGAGAGAGTGGGTTCATAGCAAACTCAGGAACTGATAGAAACTCATCAGCTGAAATGAAACCCTTTGCATTCCTATCAAGTTGGCAGAACCTCTCATACAGTGACACTATCTCTTGCTGAGTAACTAAGTTTTAACAAAGGAAAAAAACCCAAGTTTCAATGACAAAGTGAAAACCAATATAAAAGAGAATTAAACAGGAAGAAGAAGATGAATAAAACAGCCTTACAAAGATGGTTACAGTGATCTTGCACATCTTCAATATCATACTGAGTCAGCATGGAAGAAGCATTACCCATCGCTAAATCTCACTGAAAATCAATTTCTCAGAAAATTAACACACACCCAGACCCAGTCTATAAAAATCAAATCTCTTGAACAAATTAACGAATACCTAGTCTTCAAAATCAAATCTTTTGCACAACTAAAGAACACCAACCACTCATCAAAATCAAATCTTTTGCAAAAAGGCGTGGAAAATTAAGTTCCAAAAGAGATAATGGACTAAACAAAACGCACCTGCAATCCCAAGACTTCTTGTTTGAGTTAAGGATAAGAAAAATGGGAGATCAAAATTGATTGATTGGGTCTTATGCGATGATACTCAAAGACTATTGGATTGGATTGCGCTTTTTGCTTCGTCAGCCTCGATGTTCTGAAAAGTGACCGCTGTTTTGCTGGACAAACATCCAAATTTACAGGGGACTTCATGTTTATCCCTATACTGTTCTGGATCCATGCCCCGGAACTGGTTCGTTGATCTCCTCCTGTTTAAGGCTTCGTTTGGATATAACAGACGGAACAGGAAGAAATAGAAATTAGTCGTGAGTAAAAACATTTCTTTTACATTCTAAACAAACAATGCCTTAGGTTTTGCGCTGACCTAGGGGCTAATTATTATTACATGGACTATGGTACACACCATAAATAAACAAAATATATTTTTAATATATTAAAAGTACATTATTTGTGTACGTAAAGTACACTATTTGAATACAAAAAACATATTATTTTATATGTCATAAAATAATATACATTCAGTACACAGTAAATTTATATTCATGGTCCACACAATAATTTACCCCTACAAACGACAAATTATTCCATGGAACATAGTCCACGCAATTGTGTGTACTAAAAATATCAAGTACATTTTTAATATATTAAAATTACATTATTTTTATATTGAAGGTACATTATTTTTGTACTGAAGGTACATTATATAAAATAATGTACCCTTAGTATATTAAAAATGTACTTTCAAAAAAGTATACCTTACATACATAAATAATGTACCATTTAAAAATATATTTTTTTATTTATGATACACACAATTGTGTGGGCCGTGATCCATACAATAATGATTGCCTACAGACTGCATGGGCTGAATTCTTGGTTGACAGGCCTTGATTAAATGGGCCTTGGAAACGACCATTAAATTCCCAATCGGTTTTGGGCCTATACCTGGCAAAGTGGCAAATTATTTTGTGGATCCGGATCCATATTGCAAGGTAGACTCGAATTTAAAGATACACAATTTACATATAAATATTTACAATTTACATTTCAAAAATTTACTATTTATGATGATTCTGTATTATTCTTCCAAAAGGCTGAACCCCAACCCTAATGATTCTGTATTATTGATATTGTATATACGGGGTACAATACGTGTATGGGTAAAGGCTGAGGCCCGGATTCCTAACAAAGTGTTGGGAAGCTCCGGTCTTGCCTTCAGCCAAAAGTCACTTTCAAGCTGCATTTAATGCGTTTTATATAGAGGGTGAGAGAAGGCATCTCCGGGTTCTTGGCATGGTGGGCACGTGGCGGGCATGCACCGGTCATTGGTGGGGCCGGATGTCTAGCTGCCACGCGGCGATCAAAGCCTGACCCTTTCTGGGTTCAAGGACCATGTACTCGATCGGGTTCGACCGACAAGAGCGGGCCGATCGATTTAGCAGCTATCCATGCCAGGGAAGGGACACGGTTGGGACAAGCGCCTTCAATCGGTCGGTCGGGCCAACGTGTGGCATGGTGTGGCATGCCGGTCCCAGCCGAGGTTGGACGTACGGGTGGTTACCGGTTGTAGAGCTCGGATCCCGAGGGTATATCCCTATCAATTATATTTACAAATTTCCAAAACTTAGAAACACAATTTATATTCTAGAAGTTCACAATTCCAATACTAAAAATGCACAATTTAAGATCATGGTCTACCTTGCAAAGTGGACCATAATCCATTGTATAACAACTTATGGTGGCAAAATGTATTGTGAACCATAGTTCACATTTCTAAGTGTAGGTTAATAATTTATTAATTTGGGATGAGACACCAATGATGTATAAACATTGTTTTGGATCATTAGATATAACAATGAGAGACTTATTAACTTATTATGTTTTGTTAATCCAACAAATGCAAATCAGACATTTAGTGGAAAAATTGTTGTTTTGGATGGAGTTAGACAGATATTGTCTGCAATTCCAAAAGGCTCAAGACAAGACATCGTTGCTGTCACCATAAATGCTTCTTCCGTTTGAATAGTATGGGTGTTGACGCGGAATTAGAACAACTTGAAGATTTTGTAAATTGGTAAAATTTGTAATGAGTTAGACAATTATTGTAATTTAACCACTAATATAGTTTATAAGTTTTTAATAATTTGTAATTTAAAATATTTTCTCATTTTATATCACTAACGCTTATTACTTTTAAGTATGTTTAAATTCCTAATTTGAAATCCTACAAAAAGTATAATATCCACATCAAAAAGAAATAATTATCTTATAATACAACAAACATAAGTTCATTAATTCTATAATTTTGATCCGTGCATCGCATGGGTAAGTTACTAGTATTAATTGTTTTGATAAAAGAGATTAATTGACAAATGCTGCAAGATATTTAGAAAAACTTACCAGTTGCATACAACAAAACAGCTTTGTTTGGAGATCTATGCACACTGTTAAACATTTGCTTGCTGGGGTGACTTAAATTGGATCAAATCATGATGCTAGTAAAATAGCTTTAACAAAACCATGTAATGCAAATAGAAATATAGGATTGATTCCTCAGAATAGAAGACAAAGTACACATTCAAAATCCTCTCTTCTTGGAACTACTTCCAGAGAAAATTTGCAGATCCCTCTCATCTTCTATATTCCATGTCCAGGCCTCCACCCACACAAGTCCTACGAAAGCTCAACAATTTTTGGTCTCTTTCTTGGCTGCTGCTTATTCTTTGATGCTTCACTGGAAGAAGAATCCTTTTCAACAGGGTTAGCAGTTTTCCCCTTTTTAGGAAAAGGTCTCTCAGCTTCATCATCATCTCCATCGCTATCCTCGCTATCCTCATCATCACTGCTCTCTTCTGATTCCGTCTCGCTACTACTAACAGCCAAAGGAATCACCGGTTGATAACCAGATAATGCAGACTCAGCAGCAGCTACAGCTTCCTCAGTTTGCAGCTCTGCAACACCAAGCATCAAGTCCATTTCAATATATTCAGATTCTTCCCCAGTCAGAGCTTCTATATCGTACTTCTTCCCTGGATTCGTTTTCGCATCAAGCTCCAAAGTTTTATTTGCTTCCGATATCACTCCCAGGAAATCCTTCACTTTACCTAGAAATTGGCTCTGAGGAATGGAAGAAATGGCAGGTTTCTTATCAGGAGGGTTGAGTTTAGTACTTCGGGACACAAAACTTTCATCTCCATTGCAAAAACTGAGTTTCGATTCCAAAGACGAAGCAGAGGGTGTGCTTTTGTCCTCCAAATCAAGCAGAGCTTTGCTGTTAGACTTCATTTACTGGTGTATTAAGAAATTAATATAAACAAAAGTATGGGAAGCTATTCTGGCTCTCAATCAGAATTGGCAAAAATGTATGTCCTCCTGGGAACAAATGTTGATATCACCTGCAGCGAAGCATCCAATTAGTACCTTAGAACAAGATACATAAACAACACTAGAACACTAATTAAAAATCTGGAACTTTCCTAATAGTTTGTGCTATCCATTCATTAAAGTGTAAGCTTATTCCTTCTTGAAAATGCAAATCATTCCAAAGCTATGTGGACAAAAAGAAAACTTTTAAAAGACAAGAAGAATTCCCTAAGCCACATCTATGTGCTATGTTTACTTGTTTAGAATAAGATTTTTTTTAAAGCCCCTTCAAAAAAAAAAAAAAAAAAAAAATTCTCAAGGGCTAAGTAACTCGCGAGCTATCTGAATAGGCTAAAAAGCCTAGTTAAATGAGACAAATTATCATGTGGATGAGTTCAAAACAATAGCGTTTTGATGTTAAATTTTTTTTTTTTTTGTTTCGCATGTGTTAGAATAATGAACACTTTAGGATAAGATAATATATTTTATAAATTAAAATAATGTACTTTATGTTAAAAGTTCACTACATTGTTATTTGCAGATCAACTCTAAGGGAAGCATGAAATTCACAACATCCTCCTGACTTAAAATTGTTTTTTTTTTTTTTTTTTGGAATTACAGTAGAATTTGTTCTCCATTTAGTTAATATAAATGCCTAAATGGAATATGGTCTTTGTAATGAGTTGATCACAAGTTCAACTTTGTTTGTTTGATTGTATTAAATTTATATATATATTAAAAAAAAAAAAAAGGCTACTTACTATTTGATGATTAAATATTTCAATATTTCTTTTTTTAAAGAAAAACAAATAAATTCTAACTGACTTTGATGATTATGAAAACAAAGTAAAGACAATCGTTTAATTAAAGTCACTCAAACCTACATATATTATGGAAATTTTAACACGGTTTTTTGAGAAAAAAAAATTATTCAAAGTATTTTAATAGATTAAGATTATAAGTTAAAACATTATTGTTTAATTAAATCGAATATGATCTGCATATATTTTTGTAGTTATATATATACAAATATGGTTGTTTGGGACTTAGCTGTGGGTGTGACTGCCAAAGGTAAATTATTATTATTTTACCTTAAGTTTGATGCTTGTGGGGCACCCTTAGGATTCTTCAGATTTCAGCAGGAGTTGGTAATGCATATGCAAAGTAATTTTGTATTTATTACTGAATAAAGAAAACTAAACATGCAACTAATAGATTGTAATGCATATGAAACAACATCCTGCATAAGATTTTTCACAGTGATTAGTAGCTATGCATGTAAGAAGAACATATTCAGTGCGAAAACAAAAAAAAAAAAAAAAAAATCTGAAATTGATTGCCCTGGTAGGGCAATTTAGCCTAACATTACTAATTGAATTAAACAAAGATCATTGAAAATGACAAACAACTAGGAGTTATCAATTGGGCAGAGTACACCAAAATAAGCTGGAATGATTGTTTGGATACACCATTGAAGTGGACAGATCTAATGGCAGAATTATTCGAATGTTCAAGCGTAAAATTGATAACAAGTAGGAAAAAACAATTATACTCAATAAGTTTAAAGATTTTGACTAAAACAAAACAAATTGAAGCAAATGACCCAAAGCGGAAAAATGGTCATAACAAACATAGATAGAAAAGGGGGATTTTTTTACCTGGTGAGAAAAAGGAATGTTTGCTCGCAGTCCTTTGAAAACGAGAAGAGGCCAGAATCCGGAGGCGGAGAATTTGAGCCGGAAAGATACAGTGAGATGGTTGAGAAGCGGACACGGACACAGAGAGAGTGAGAGGTGCGAGAGCGGCAAAGAGGATAGGGTTAGGGTTGAGAAGCGGACACTGGACACAGAGAGAGTGAGAGGTGCCGTCGGAAAGAAAATAGATGGAAGAAGCACCGTCCTCTGCAGCCGGAAGTTGCCGCGCCGCTGCTGACGTGGTCGCAGATCTGGAGTATAGTGGCAACTCGGCAAGAAGAAGCTTCTAAGTTGGTGTGACCATTGTCGCCGGAGTCGTTCAGGTGCTAAGCTACAACGAAGAAGAAGAAGAAAAGGTAGGTATGAAGATTGATGGAAGGAGGCGGAGGTCGTCACTCTTCAAATTAGCGAACTTGTCACTTGAGAGAAGAGGCGAAGGTCTCAACTCTAAAGATAATACTAGTATTAGATTTTAGGGTTCATAACTTGATACGGAGTATAATTTAATTAATTAATTAATTAATATAAAGAAAAAATTGTATCTTTAATCCTTGAGTTATAACTAAATTTTGATTCAGTCCCTAAGTTATGATCGTATCTGAGTTTAATCCCTTGGTTATAAGCGAAGTGCCGTGGTGAGTTTGGTCCCTAGCGTATCTGACAGAAAATTTAAAAATAATTTAATAATAGACGGGTAAAATATAAATTTTAAATTATAATCTTCTTCTTACGTTGAAACCTATTGTTCAACAGTCATTCTTTTCTTCTTATACCTATAATCTAATGCTTTTGTCAACCCCAAGCTCTGAAATTCCAAACTCGTCCACTTCCAAGCTGCGAAATTCACAAATAAATTGTTTCTCTATTTTATATGTTTAAATAAATAATCACTATTTTCCATATTGATGAACCAATTTAACCATTAATTATAGGATGTCATCTCTTAGTTGTGGTACTTCATCTTTCCCACCAAAATGTCATGGAGTTATGTCAATCGAGGGAAGAGATACTAAGCTTGTCCATGTTATGTAGCAAATTTTTGTATTTGTCAAAAAATTGTAAGACACTAAGACCTAAACTGGAATTTCACATGCGCAAAAAAAAAAATTCTCAATCTACCTTAGAGCAACTCTAATAATGGATTTTTTTTTTTTTTTTGTTGAGTTTTTCAGGCCAATTAAGAGTGTGAAAACGGAAGAAAAAAATATGAAAAATAAAAATAAAATAGCTATCAGTTAAAAATAAAAATAAAAAATCATGATTAGCTGGTGTACAAAACGAGCACCAATATTGATTAATTTTTATTTTTAATTAAACTTCCATAAATCCCACAAAAAATTATGTTTTCGTACAAATATTTTTTTTCCTCTTTCCTCCATCCTCCCTCTTCCAAATCATACAAGAAAACCCCATAGTGTATAAATTTAAAGGATTGCATTGTAAATTTGAGAGGTTTTATCTATCTGAATTCTACTACATAATTCTCAACCTCTACTTATTCAGTTTTACTCCACGATGTGGCAAGAAATGATAAATTATTTTCATCATGTGAATCTCAAGAAAAATATCATCAACATCAAAATTTTAAGTAAGAGAGCAAGACTTGGGAGTCAAAGTAGTATTTTCCTATCTATTTTTACTCTAAAGTACAGTGCATAGACGATAAACAATAATCGGTACATGATTATATATAAATAATTGAATTATAATACATGAACTCTTAACTTTTATTTTATGTTAATGCGACAATACATTTTCATTGATTAAAAAATATGTTACAATTTTTATTTTCTTTTTAATAAAATAAGAACGCTTAAACAGCCTCAATCAAGTTTATCAAATTATTGATTTAGCAATCATATAAAGTTATATTACAAGTTCAATTTCTAATGCAATAGTAATTACAAATTTCTCTAAATACTCAAAAAAAAAACATTCTATTCCTTTTCTTTTCATCCTCCAATAAAATTTAAACATCCAACAAAAATTTTATCTCCTAAGAATCTATTTGTCATTTTCGAAAGTTGTAATATACAATTTCACATATAATGTGACATCCTATCATATCACTTCTTCTGCATTTCCATTTTCTTCCTTCTCTCTAAGTCACCATGCCTTCTTCTTCTTCTAACCCTAACCCTCTAAACAACACAAATACTCATAATGTCCCATATGCCCCATTATTGCCATGCGGCTTTCCCCCCAACACCACTTTCGTCCAAACAGACCCTTCAAACTTTCAGGCCGTCGTCCAGAGACTCACCGGCGCAACCCAAGACCCATCGGTCCAGAAGCTCCCCGTCGTCCTCCCCGCACGCCGTGCCGGAAAACCCAACTCCGCCCATCACCGCCCACCCTTCAAGCTCCACGAACGAAGGCTGCAGACCTCAAAAAAGCTCCAGATCACCCTCAACGGCGGCGGCGGCGGAACAGTTGGACGGCTATCGCCGTCTGCTTCGGCGGCGGCGGCGACGCGTGTGGTGATGGGCTCACCCGTGTCGCCGCTGGAAATGTTGGCACGACGGAGCCCGACGTCGGCGGTGGAAAATGAAGAAGAAGAAGAGAGGGGCATTTCGGAGAAGGGGTTTTGTTTCCGTCCGAGTCCACTCAGTACGCCTAGAGGCGGCGGCCGGTCTGAACCGCCGGAGCTTTTGCCTCTGTTTCCCCTTCACTCACCATCAACACGCCACCATTCATCTTGTTCATAATGTCATCATTTTATTTTCCTGTTTAAATTTATTTTATGAAAATATTGTAATATCATATTTAATTCTTCGTGGATTTTAGTTAAGCTTAATTATATGCTAATATATCAATTAATGGAATGGCAGTCCTTTGCCTACAATCTTGTCATCCAAGAATCAACTGAGCTACCATGCCAATCTGTAGTCGTATTCCTTTATTTTGTGATTATTACACTCCATATAAGAAGTTTAAAAGTTAAAAAAAAAAAAAAAAAAGGTATAATTGAATGTGCATATAATCTCGGGGTGGGAGAGAAATCTCCAATTTAGTTGTCTCATCCAATAGAGGTGTCTACAATTCAACAAAGAATTAGTTACTATATTCAATGATGGAAACTCTAGATACATTCAAAAAAAAAAAAAAAAAAAAATTGAGTGTGCCTATTTATGCTTAGCTTACACTTGCAATACCTATTCACTTACATTTTTTTTTTTAAAAAAAATCTTTAGAACATGAAGACACAAATATAACTATAACTCTATAATAAATCACTATTAGTTATAACATAGCAAATTAATTTATAAATTATTGTAAATTAATAATTTTTTTTTGAATGATGAAAGAAACTCACTGCCACTATTAGTGTGTACTAAATAAAGAGTAAATACCCAAAATGGTCCCTCGACTATAGCTAAATTCACAAATTGGTCCTCGACTTTCAATTTCAACCAATTAAGTCCTTAACTTTGTAATTTTGACACGATTTGGTTCTCTATCTATTTGACCGTTTGTTGACCGTGATCGACGATCTCCAGAAGAACCTTCAGCTCTCGTCGGAGCACGTGGAGGCTTGCACTGGTTCGGAAACACGTCGTCTTCTTCGCTCTGGTACGAACTCAACTACATTGAATTCAAAGGGAGGATGAAGAAAGGCGACCGGATTTGGTAGATTGCTTTCGGCAGTGGATTCAAATGTAACAGTGCGGTCTGGAAATGCAACTAGAACCTTAAAAAATCGACGATGGACCATGAAATTACATATATATCCTCAAAAATCACAGTCAACAAATGGTCAAATAGACAGAGGACCATATTGTGTTAAAATTACAAAGTTAAGGACTTAATTGGTTGAAATTGAAAGTCGAGGACTAATTTGTGAATTTAGCTATAGTTGAAGGACCACTTTGGGTATTTACTCCTAAATAAATATCGCTTCTATATAATATATAACTTGTAACCCAACAAGGTAGCTCAAGTGACAAATGAGCTCTCTTTGTGGGGGAGAATCCGGGATAACCTAGGTATTCCCACAAGTGACGATTCCCTTTGGGCCAGCTCCTGTACCTCTCAGAGCGAACCGAATGGACCTGGACTGTTAAACGGACAGAGAAAGATCCGGACCACATTGTGGTTTACACCTAAAAAAAATTATATAACCCGTACACATTGAAGAGAGGTCAACTGCAAATCTGCAATAAATAAATTAAAGATTTTCTTCATGCATGCAAATATCAATTATTATGTTAGTATTTTGTTTTTGGGTTTCTTTTTGGCAACATTATTGTACATGGAATTATTGTACTCCATATCACGTAAGCCATGATTTTCTTGGGAGTGAAAAATTTGAAGTGTAGGCAAGTGCAATGGCGTGGTTGTCAGATCAGATCAAGGGCTAGGGTTTAATCTGCAGTGATATGATATTTATGTTTTTACTTTATTTTTATTTCTTGATATGATATATATTTTGATAGAGGCAAAATCTTCAATAATAGACATCTTATGATTTTATGAATTCTTATCCATGAGGTGAGTTATATTTTTCAGGCGTTTGGTTGGAGATGGGAAATTACGTGGGAAAGGAATTGCAATTCCATGGGAGATGAATTACTGAAAATAAAGTGGGAATTTAAATTCCAGTGTTTGGTTTATAGGAATAGAATTACTGGGAATTTCAATTCTAATGTTTGGTATACATGGAAATTGAAAGGGAATAAGTAGTATAAAGTCCAAAATGTCCATTGTTATTGTCATGCATTAGTTTTAGGTCAAAAAAGAAATGGGTAATTTTGACTCATCACTATCTTTTTTTTTTCTTCTTAAAATCTCAAGAATTAAAATCACAGGTGGGACATGAAATTTTAATTCCATGAAAATGGGGGAATTGCAATTCTATGGAATTGCAATTAATTTCTTTCAACCAAACAAGGGAATTTTGTGACCTTTGGAATTAGGTGGGAAGGGAATTTAAATTCCCTTCAACCAAACGCCTTGTTATAGTTTCTCATAAGTAAATCTTCAATCCCAAAATATTACTATATTTTAATTTTAAAGTATCACATTTTTCCTAATAAATATTACCCTTATGAATAATAATCAATCTATTTATCTACACTTAGTATTACACTTTTTCTAATAAGTATTATGTTTTCACTTAAGTAACAATCAATCAATTAATTTATCTTGATTAATATTACACGTTTTTCTCATAATAAATGTCTATACCTTCAACTCCTAAATATTATATTTTCATTAAAAGTATCACACTTTAATTTTTGATCTGGTTTAATGAAGTGCTATTTTCTCTTCAATAATAATAACAACAACAACAACAACAACAATAATAATAATAATAATAATAATAATAATAATAATAATAATGTGTAAATATAATTGGTGATATTAAGTTTTTTTTTTTAAATGAAAAAAATGCTATATATCTTGACAAAAAAAAAAAATATCTTCCATACAAGTGAATAAGGATAGCAATTCATTTCTATAACCGAGTTGTTAGATAACAAGCACATTTGCCTAATTTATGAAAATACTAAACAATGATAAATAAAATCTTCAAAATATAGCACCGCATGCGTACATCTAAATATAGTTATTAATTTGAGCAATTATTTACACAAATTCAAGCAATGATAACATCAAAATATATAAACGATCCAAATCATATCTTTAATTGTACTATATTATATTTGATATTCTAATTTAAATAATTATATATTGATTCATATATTATTAATATATTACAACAAATTCATTCCCTGCATCGCACAGGTGCAAATACTAGTAATAATAATAATAATAATAATACTCCGTAATACATTAGCCTATGGTGCCAGACTGCAAGATGGAACACACATTGTCACATTATTGCTAGCCAGAACCCAGCTCTGGCTTTTACGTGTTTGGTATGGTAGGCCGTAGGCCAGGGTAATTGGATGAATAAATTTGTCATTTTGCCAAGTAATTTTTCTCATACACTATTTTCATATTCATTTATTGGAATTATTAATTTTTTTTTTTTTTTTTTTTTTTACTAGAGTATCAATATATATCCCAAAAAATCAATAGTTCATCATTATCGGGTTTGATCATGTGACTATCCATTTGAAATTGTATAAAATGGATACTTCCTTCTAAAGAAGTAAAGAATTCAGTTTCAAATTTGTGAAATAGCCTGCGAATCAAGTTTTCTGTAGCATTGCTAGGGAAGTTGTTTCTATGTCTGACGGTAAGGAATGTTTGACCATTCCATGGATCGTTATTGTAAACGTTTCAGTCTATGATTAATGAATTAGCTTCTTTGTTTACAAAAAAAAAGAGTAAAGAATTATGAGTGTTTAAAAAAAAAAAAGTATCAGTATATATATGGGAGGTGTCATTAAATGCTTAAAGGATAAAGTGACGTATACTTAAGGATAATACCTAATATTTAAAGTATATATAGAACAATATTGAGGATTAATACTAGATTGTACATTATTGAAAATTGGACCGAAAGTATGGGTCTAAATTTACATTGCACAAAGAGAGGGAGAGTGAGAGTAGAGAATATGATTTATTACCGATTGCAATATAAGTTAAAGCATTGTTGCAAGATCTTACTAAAGTTGAGATTAATACACTGAGATTGAGAAGTCATACTAAAGTTGGTCAAGCAACTTTGGTAAAATAGAATGCAATGTTGTAGACTAGTACAAGTAAATGAGATGTAAGGTATGAGATGAGAGATACATACTCAGAACATAGGGTTAGAGAGTTATTTATACTGAATTTAAGTTAATTAATTATGTCGTGCAAGTGCAAGTGCAAGTGAGCTAATTAACATGCATGGCTTTCTGGTTGGCCACTAAGGTCATCTGATTAAACTACACGACAATATGCTCAGATAGTCATGACGACCTATATTAACAATGCTAGCTACAAACAGTCAATTAGTTCAATTATTGCAGGATAAGTGAATCGTCCAACAATTGTCTCGACCAAGTGACTTTAAATGTACTCAATTCTTTATAAGACTATTTTGTTTAAACTTGAGACACGAGACTTATTATTAATTTGAATAATTGAACAAGATGGGATACCCTATGATGGCATATTAATACCTTTTACCCAAATCCTAAAATATATTACCTCAATATACATATATAGTACAATAACAATTAGCCAAACACCATCTAGAACTTGTAAACAAATGAACAAAGAATTGAGGAGAGAATAAATTTGGTGGGCAAAAGCCAAAAACTATACAGCCTTGATCAGGCCGTATATATAGAGAGACAAAAGAAATCGCAAAAAGATAAAGAAACCACAGCTCCTGGCCTCCATTATCTGCAGTCTGATAGGATGCACCCAAAAACAATAAAGTTATGAGAGTTTCTGAGTTAGGCGTGTTTGAGATCAGAGATGAAGTGATTGCGTAGTACAAATTGTACGTGTTTGCAAAAGATTAGGGTGACATTTTTAGAATTTTCACCATTCCACAAAAACACAACTTGTACTAGTCCCACTCATACTTATCATTTTATAAGTCCAAGACAACTAGACAAGTGAAAAAAAGGCCATAATAACATCTACAAAAGTTAACATAAATTTTTATAACTAAATTTTAAATTCAATATATGAGTACAAAAATACTAATGCCAATTAACTTAAAATAAAATTTTAAAAATTTCAACAATTTACAATATAAAACTAATCATAATTGTTATATATATATATATATATATAACAACTTTTTATGTGCTTGATGCAAAATTATCAATGAGCTCTT